ACCAAGAAACTGACAGAAAATCAACACTTTTCATAAGATGTTGTAATAATAAGAATCTGGTGCCTCTGCTGATTTACAGTTTAAAGAGCCCCAGTCAGATGTCGGAAGTAACAAAATACAAATACCTTGTTACTGTAAGGAGAATTTTAAGGCATCTGTGCTTTGCTTGACTAGATTATGTTTCTGACAGCTTTTTACTTTTACTCCTTACGTTTTCAAAATAGGCTTGTTAGTTTTGGTTCAACACATTTGAGGGGAGATATTATGACGCTGCGAGCCTTCACACATCAAACATCTGAGCCTAAACTGTAACACGTGAAAGGCAATTCTGTTGGTGTATTAATCACCAGGAGATGTGGCATAAAAAACAGATGAAAGATGAAAAATATGACTTTGTGCCATAGTGAGGGGTTTTTATTTATTTATTCTGACTAATAGTAAAGTCAAATTTAATTTCTATCACCTTAACAAACATCACCAAACACACAAACTGTTTGTGTGCAGTTTGTCTCACAGTGTGTTGCTAGCTAAAGGTCCAGCTGCTGTATTTCACAGGGAAGAAACAAAAGAGATGGAGAAAGATAAGAAAGACAGGACAGGAGAGGAAGAAGAGACGTTAGGTTTAAAGGTAAGGATTCCTCATTTAAAGCTGACATGCAAGTCCTCATGTTTTTAAATCAACTATTGGGTCTGTACGTTGTGACATTGTGTTTTTTATATTAAGAAACATGCTGCTAAACAAACTGAGGTAAACTAACTGTGTTATTTACTGTGACATGAAAATCCTCTGTAGATTAGTGCAGGATACTGTTATGGATTTAAAGTAAAGAACAGTGTGTGACTGGTGCACAGTGGCTGTGGTTTCACAGTCAGTAAGGTTACATCAAGTTTAGCAGAGATAAATCTGAAGCTAAACTCATGATCCTGAGATTCATTCACTGAATTCCACCTTTATACCAACTTTATACTGTCTAATATAAAGACAGCATAAACAGTGTACTGTCAGTGTAGGGGATGGAAGTCAGCCAGGAGAACTTTTGAGACATCTGCTGACATCTTGTTGAATTCAGTTGTGTAAATCCACAAAGAGCAGGAGGTCAGCTGATCACAGCCTGTACAATATGAAAATCTAGTGGAACTCTCAGTAGTGGGTTAGGGTTAGCCCACAATGAGTCAACTGACTTTTAGGGTTCCTCCGCCTGCTGAATCTGCTTTAACCCCTTGCCTACACTTTTTCCTCTTTAGAGGCAAAGTCATCCGCTTCAGTGTAGGCAACAGAAAATAGAGCTGTTTTTATTTTCATATTTCTTCTCTGCTGATGTTCTACTTAACCAGTTCAAGCTGAGTTACCTTCATTAGGATTAAAATTTAGACTGAAATCTCCTGCTTTGGATGTTAGTGTTCCTATCTACTAAAATTATTTTAATATTACATTAATATAGCACAAGGTTCAGTTAGCTTTGCATTAAAATAGCTGGTTTGAAGATTGGGGGCGGATTTGAGGGCAAAAGTGGGTCTAACCTGCTACTAAAAAGGTATCACTAATGAGTTGTATTTAGTTAGTTTTCAATTAAGTTTAATTCAGTTGTATGTATATAGTGCTAAATCACAGCAATAGCTGCCTCAAGGCGATTTATACCGTAAGGTAAGACCCTGCAATAGCACAACCATCACACCGCGGGCTCTGTACGTGCACACGCCTGCAGGGTGTCAGCCACAGCGGTGGGCGGCGCTGTAACAAACCGAGTGAGAGTGGAGGAGCTGAGAAGGAGAGCAACTCCGGTTTGATTGGAGGAAGTAAACACATCAACAAAGAAAAATGGCCGAAGTGATAGAGCTGCAGAAGCTTAAGGTTGGTATTTCCCTAAAATACGCACTTAATAACCCGCATTTGGTCGGTTTTTAAAGATAAAGATAGCTTTTAACCGGAGTTAGATGCAGGACCGGAGGTCGGGGTTACGTTAATTAACCGTTTTGAAGGACAAAATGACGTCCGGCTGAGAAGGCGAACACCCGGCATGTGTTCAAAGAGCTAAAGGCGGGCTAACGTTAGAATACATCGGCTAAGGAGGGAGAAAAAACATTAAATATGAAATTAATGTTAAATAACAAATACTGTCATATATATATGCACAAAGTCACCTACTGTCGCTGTCCTTCTGTAAGAACGTTAACAGCAAGTTAATTTGGCCGAGGCTAGCCCAACATTAGCTTTTAAAAGTGCAGCTCAGTTTACTCGGTCTCTGACTTTACATCCACAAGCGTCCTAAAATGCTGCCGCCAGGCTAATTGCCCTGTGCGAACTTATATCAAATGCTTCACAGGCAGTTTAGGGTTATATTTTAAAAATGTATTTGACTCCATCTCAGGCCACACAACATAAAAATGAGCAGTATGTGTAAACTCTGTGTGTTTGTGGAGTTTATGTGTCCCCAAAGTGTTGGGAGATTCCCGAGTCACAGAAGCCGAAACATTGAACACGACTTACAACAAAGAAATAAAGTAAATTATTAGATAAATAAAATAGCTCACATCACACAAGGGGAGCGACAGGAAGAGGGGAAATGAAACTAAAGAGGCCAGTTAGTAAAAATATAATAAATGAACGAAGGTAAAGATTTTCTGTCTGAGTGTGGTCTGGGTCTGTTTGTTATCTGTGTCCACACATTTGGATGCTCTATGCGTCAGCTGATGGAGGAATCCAAATAGTGTATTTGAGTCAAACTGGATTCAAACTCCAAGGGCAGTGATGGAAAACGATTATCTGACAACTAATGCAGAGTAGCTTCCAGGAAAAAAGAAAGAAAGAAAGAAAACATACCAGAGTGCATTACATTACATTAAAAGTACTGAAAAGGTGCTAGAGGAAAAATATCGATGGATAATTTGGTATTGAAATTTCTTTAAAAAGCAACCGATTTTGTTACCTAAATGGGCTTCTTATGTGATTTAATCCAATGAATTTCATGTGTGGTTGTTGTGTTTTCATATTTGTGTGCGGGCTGGAGACATCTATTTTT